TCTCGCTTTCTTTCTCTCTCTCTCTCTCTCTCTCTCTCTCTCTCTCTCTCTCTCTCTCTCTCTCTCTCTCCCTCTTTCTTTCTCTCGGGTCATTAGTGTGACGGCTATGCACATGCCTGCGTTTGCTCTCGTGACAATGGACCTCTGGCCGGCACGCTCCCTCTTTACAAATGAGCAGTCAATTAAGCGGCAAACCTTAACTGCATTTAGTACATTACGGCGATCCAGATAATAAGCTTCCAACGCCGACAATGGGGCCGCCTTTCGATAACGAACAAGTGGATACAGCCACGGACACGTAGACTGTCACCTCTCGGCGTAAAGCGCCGTGCGCGTGAGAGTGACGGAGGGATCCGAAGCGCCGAGCTCACCTCTCGTTCCCGTCTAAATGGTGAGTGCTGGCAGATGGCCAAAATATGACTTATAAACATTCGGTGTGCCTTTCATGCCAACGTACAGTAGCGGTGGGTAAACTTGAGACAATGTCAACGCGTACGCAGCAGATTCGAACGTGTGCAGCCGCGCACGCGAAAATTGCAAAACAGCAAATTCCCTATATTATCTACTTCTGATACTTATTCATGGCAGTCGGCCGTCATATCATAATCATATGTCAATATCATGTCCGCGTGCGTGCATGCGTGAGTGTGAGCGCGCTTGCGCGTGCGTGCGTGAGTGTGTGCGTGAGTGAGTACGTATGTGTGCGTGAGTGTGTGCGTGCGTGCGTGCGTGCACGTGCGTGCGAGCGTGGGTATGTCAGCATGTATGTGCATAAGTGCAAGACTGGCAGGCCACGCAAGGTTCGCAGTCAATAAAAATACGCAAATTTCATTGCGGGTGTAGCAGCACCGCACACAGTTTAGCCTGTCATGCACAGCACTTAAAGCCGCAATATGCGCATCCAAACGCTAATTCTCTAATACTAGACTAGCAAATACTTCGTGCCATACATAATCACACTACCTTATGACAAAATAAACTCTAGTTCCTCCCATTTCACTGAGCGTTGTCTTATAAAGGGTATTTGAAAATACCTCCAATGTTGTTCAAATTCTCCGATGTTGTTGACACGTTCGCGTTGCTCTGCCAAGCAACCGTACAGCGGGTGCAACCCGTAGCAACATGTGACGTCACCTAACCGATTCGGGGCTAAATTGTTTGGCAAACAATTCGGCGTTGGCACCAGATTGCCAGATTTCGCACCTCTTTCTTGTGGGTTTTAAGCAAACGCGCAGTGAAATGGGAGGAACTAGAATTTAGTTTGTCATAAGGTAGTGTGATTATGCATGACACGAAGTATTTGCTAGTCTAGTACTGGAGAAATTAGCATTTGGATGCGCATATTGCGGGTTTAATAGTCATCACGCTGTTTCTACGGGCGCGAATAATTTCGCAAAAATTGATTTACCCTTCCTCAGTTCCACTGACACGCCGTCCAAACGTGAGTGAGGCAGCGCGATATTTCTACGGCAGCGTAATCCAATTGCATTATAACATCGGATAAATAATTCAGCATCGCCTCGGCATTACAGACAAGCGACGAAACCGGGGGTGAAAACGAAACGAGCGTGCGCGTGCCGGACACCTAGTGCTCGCTTCTATAGTTAGGAATCAACCCTTAGTGCATACTCATGCTTCATTCATCCGCAACTTGATCGGAGCATTCCACGAAGAATTCGTGTACACTTTTTTTTTACAGTGGACTGACCATGCACAATCGACCAAAGACATTGGCCCTCCATGAAAATAAACACGGCGCTGTACGATCTATCAGAAACTCACCTCGAAACATCGCTGTGCGGACAGGCATCAGTGGCGTCTTGTAAGGCGGTAGGCATTTCGGGAACATCGGCTATATCCATGGTTTGGCTACCATCTGCGACCGCGGGTCAAGACGACACAACACAGCGCGACTGCGTTAGTCTGACAACATTCGCGTGCCCCCGCGGTTGTCCGGTATCCGGTATTTAATGTTCACTGACAACCTGCAACAGCAGAGTGCGCTCACGAGGTTTGTTTTAAAGTAACGATTGCGAGAGTTTTCCAATGTTTTCATCACTTTCATGACACCTACCGTTATTGCTGGAGTAACAGCAATTGTCTAGAGTAACAATAGAATGTCTTAAAACCTTCGTATTCACGAAAAACTGCCAGCTTCAAACTAAACGTTTTTGTAAACATTCGTTTCTGTCATCTTGAACTAACAGGAAGTATGGATTAGCTTGTGGCGCCACCGCTTATCTGCCATAAACACAGTACAGGCATGCACTTGTTTTCAATTCATCACCGACACAAATACAAGTTTACCAATTCTGCCATTAAGCATTATCGACATACGATAAAATTTATTGCTGCTACGATGTGGTCAAATCCATTTCTCTATGCTATAACTGCATAAAATCTTAGTATTTTTAATCGTGGTGTAATCAGTGATATTTCCGCTGTCAGGTGAGACTATATTCAGCTTTATTTAGTTTTTCCGAGCAAAAACCTCACAATAACCGTTTTAACTTGTGCGACCCCTCATCGCAACGACTACTGGCATATACCCGGTATGTGAACTGAATTTGCTATGCAGTCAAATTTCACAGTATTAACAGTGATTTAACACTAATATAATAATTATACTACTGTAACTCACTAATTAAAATATGCTAGCAATATTTTAATTAAAATATTAATAAATTAGATACGCCACGTTTTGGAGCAAAATGATTTGAGTTTTGTACGTCTACAAAACACAACTTACAGCCGATAGCTTCTGTCCTGACTCGATCAGTCTACACAGCACGTCAATCTACCAGCATATCGCCGTTGAAATATTTACCGCAAAAACACTGCAATGCCATATCGCGTAACACGCACAGCGGAGCACGATCAACAACAGATGCGTTTAAATCGCGGCGACCGACTGAGGATTGGCTGTGTTAGAACAGCAGGCGATCGCTTCACGTCAGCCGAAATGCACGAATTTTAAATCCGCGAGTGGCTCACGTAGCGTCGGTCCATTATTCTTGAAATTCGACACGGGAAGGGGCACAAAACTCGTACACTAACTTGTATTGTTGCTTTACCTGCCGTCTGCAATGTTGCGGTTCGTTGAGGTTGGCTTTCTTTCAGCTCATTTTAGGTGTTTTTGAAGAAATCGATCGCGAATAAGAAAACCGCCAGCCATTATTGTTTACGAACGGAGTGAAGCTAGCTGTCAATTCAATAACAAACGTTTGCTGCGGCTGCGGATATATTAAAATTAATTCAAAAAACAAACAAGTTATTGAACAAAGAGCGTAATTACTGAGTTACACCTGTAGTTATTGTCGTATGTTCAAAATAATTTTATTCGTAATTTAATTGTCTACCTTCGCAGTCTACTTCGCAGTTTCGCAGTATCTCTTCGCCCCATCTGGTGGCAATGATTACCGATTTTCCAGCTAATTGGTCAAACTTTATGAGTGCTCTTTATTGCACACTAGACCCGCTATGACCTATCTATCTAGATGACTGTAACATTGGGAAAAGAATTAGGGATTATAAATGGTTGTTACTAATAATTGTCATTGTCGTACATATAAATTATAGTATCTATATTTGATGAGCTACCTTACCATTACAGAAAATCAGTAGTAAAAGGCAACGATTGTTTCACGTACAATTTTATTTATTTTTACATGATGTAAAAAAAAAGTATATAAATACTAGCTCTTACTGTGTCGTGTATATGGGTTTACTGATTTAACTAAGGAAGTACGCACATTACATTGCTAAAAATATACTGCAAGTAATGGTAAATGACATTTTCTCAATGAAACAGATTGTACATGTATATGCAAACAAAAGATAACACAGTTATAAACAAAACAAAAAAATATTCAGCAATATTTGTACATCGACTTTCAATGTGGATGGTACGTTTTCTTTGTATCTGTCGATCTGGTATAACTTTAATAACTTTCTAATTATCTGAACAACAAAAGTACATGGCAAGTTCAGGAGAAATGTCCTCTTAAAATATATCACCTAAATCTTACCTCCACCTCTTATTTCTCCTGGTGGTTAAACATAATTTTTTTTTAAATAAAAATATACCAGAGCAACCTCTCATTACTACTATTTCTTGTGGGAACAGGTTTCTGCATTCGCATGTGGCTCATTTCATGATAAATGCTGACAAACGATGGCGCTACTTGACAATGTTTGCTGTCCTGTATAGTAGAAATGCACCAGCAGACAGGCCACCAATGTTGATCCAACAGGTGTCTGCTCTCCTCCACAGATATCCCAGTCTGATCAAACTCTGCAATGTAAGAGTTGACGTATTATCGTGTAATACCTCTCAACACAGTGACGAAACTCATCCTAACCAACCTAACTCTCTCACTTTCACACCCCACTCTTATATCTTCATCGTTCATCACTTGTAAGTAGCAGGGGAAAACAGCCGAAGCCCAATCAACCATTTGGTAGCTTTATCGGACCTAAGCGAGGTGACTGCATTATTTTCGTGAGCCGGGCATAGTTTTCATCTGTGGAGCAGAGCCACCATGGTTTCACTTATTGGAATTTCTCGCATCCACCCCCTTGCCTTCTGATACATACTGCAGTTACAACACTGGAGCCTCTTTAACTCACCTGCTGAATGCACTTCTTGTCTTGTGTCAGCATCACTGCACGCCCTGTAGTCGGTCTGGCCACCCGGGCCAACTCCGTAAGAACCTGGAAAGACGGTTCACATCATTTTTAACATCGTGTACGACAGATGATTGAATAATTTCATCGGATCTCTATAGTTACATGCTCATAAAGTTTATCTCAGTTAGATCCAAATTAAGTTAAAAATAACTTACACTGACGAAAATGTCGTCAGTGTAAGTTATTTTTAACTTAATTTGGATCTAACTGAGCTAAACTTTATTAGTATAGTGTACGACAGGTTTTCGGACACGTGCTTACATTTTCAATAGGTACGTCCAAACATGCGAAGTGCAGCATAGAGCACACAATACAGGTAACTACGATTTGATGTGATATGAATAACTGCATAATTTAACGTTTGTGGGTGCCAATAAAGAGCATGTCTGCGCACTAAATTTGGCTGCCGGGATGCAATTAGAACATATATGCCCGTAGCACATTACAATTCTGATATTACATCTCATCGAATGTATCTCTCCCGCTCTCCCTCTCTCTCACTCCCAACCTCCTCCCTCTCCCTTTCTCATTCTTTCTCTGCCAATTTCTCACTCCCAACCTCCTCTCTCTCTCCAATTTTCTCACTCCCAACCTCCTCTCTCTCTCCCTTTCTCTTTCTTTCTCTCTGTCTTTCTTTCTCCCATCTCTTCCTCGCACGCGCTGTCTCTCTCTCCTCCTCCTCACTCCATCTCTCTCTCATCCTCTCACACTAACTCTCCCCCCCCCTCTATAAAATCATCTGTCGTCTAACACCGACGCCGTCCGCAGGGAGGTACGCCAGACACACCTGAGGGTAGAGTCGTCGGTTGTCGAATTTGTTTCCCATGCGTTTTCCGAATGGCATGTCCGTGATGAAGACGTCCACGCTGCTGTCATGCAGAGGCAGACGCTTCACGTCCCACCTGAACATGTCCACCTTCAGCGCCCCCCTGTGGTGGAAAAGATAGAATGATGACTCGAACAGCGACTGCAGTCCCCAAGGAAGACAACGAAGAAGGCGAATGTGAAGAAGAGACATGTGTGAAGAAGAGGCCTGGATGGCCTCTACGGGGCACCGCCCCACTGTGCTACCCAATGTTGTCTCAATATGTGGGTTGTTGGATGCCATTTTAAAACAAAGTTATGGTTAAGAAATGCTAAGTAAGTTAGCAACGAACGAGTAGTTTCGACGTGTTGTAGTCTTCGTCAGGTTCTTCCAACTTTTTACGGCTGAAAAAACCGCGTTTTTCAGTGTGTTCCCTCCTCTTTACATACCCTTCCCGCCTGTGGAAAAGGGGCGCAGATAGGGGGTGCCGGTGGGCGCATAGCTGCTAATGGTTGGCTAAAGTAAGAAACTGTATTGGTTGGGATTGCGATTGCTTCACCATGCAATGTTAGACACATACTGTTCCTTCTCCGCTCGCTGCTGGTTAATGTCGGTAACGTTGCTATGCACACGAGACTCTGCCATTCCGTGATTGTCTCCGCACAAGAAGTGTGCATTCGGCCAACAGATGGCCCCCTAAAAATACAGACACATGCACATTAAACAACAGTGCTAGGAACTCCACACACCATACTCTGCAAACTTGCTCAAACCAATATCGTCTAGTTGTGAAGGGTTCAAGAGCATGCATTTTACATAGACAAATACACATGCATGCACACAAACTCAAAATGAAGAAAAAAAAACCCAGGCCTGCGCATGAGACTATACAGTCTCGCTCGAATAGCTCGCATCTAATTGTGAAACTGATTGTGATATTGTTTTTAAAGGCAATTCGGCCAATTATGTGATAGTAACACTGCAGTTACGCAGTTTTTATCATGTTTTAATCACTATCTATTTACTCTTGTTTGATATCGGTGCAAAAGCTCTTAGCTTATGTTAATAATGTTCATTATATACCGATGAAAATAAATTTTACTTGAACTTGAACTTGAACTTGAAACCCACCTCGATTGGAATGGATCCACCACCGCCCATTGGATCACAGACTACATCACCATCTTTGATGCCGCTCATTCTGAAAACATTACACGCATTTTCAAACTTGAATGAACTTTTAAAGAATGAAAAATTCAAGTACAATATCTATTATGAAAACTATGTGCACACTAGAAAATAATTAAATATTAATATCTGTAATTACTATATTAATAAAAATAGCAATATTATTTTCAGTTCAGATTTCTTTTTATTATTTTCTTTTTAGAATTCAACTAACCCTGTATAATGAGCAAACATTTACCTTAGCATACAGTAAGCAATTGTTGACTTGAGGGTCGTTGGCCCAAAGTGGTTGATGTTTCTTTTCCCAAGGGTTGCCTTTGTCAGAGCGAGGGTTACATAGCCTCTCTGATCCTCTATGTTAAGCACAACCTGGCAATCAAATAATAAGAAAACAGGATTGCAACAAGGAAAGCAATACCTGGGGCTCATTGTCAGAAACTTCACATAATGTTGTGACTTACATAAGGCTAAAATGTCATAACTTTTGTACAACACTTCACTTCAAAGGTGTATATGAGATTATAGACCTACGATGTCATAGGTACTTAAGATATTTTTGACAACAGGCCCCTGGTTAACAAGCAAAAAACCTGATAATGCTAATGCTAAATACAATTAAACTTATCACAACACACATTAATTGCACTGCAAAACAGCTCAAAATTCCAACTAAAATTCCATGCTTCCAAGCACTTCTAAAAGAAATCGAAGCGATTTAAGAGGACATTATAACATAATTGCAATGAGTTGTCTATTAAGCCATGGTAATCCACCAATTATATACACATAGAAGAATCCGTGTTTCACTACCTCAATGTCGAAATTTTTCAAGTCCACTTTCCAGCGGAAGAAGTCATTGATGGCGCCACCGAATTCACATGCTGCGTCGGGTGAACCGAAACTGTGATGCTTCCCTGTTCGGTAGCAGGTTGCTCTGAACCTGGGCACCCCGAGTGGAACCCGATCGGATACGACGACGTCGTCAAGTTTCGAGTTCTGACACGAGTGATCGTCTTTCATTTTTGGATCCCCGGTGTCAGACTGGACAGACGTCGGTCCGTCACCTGCGTCCGTCATCTCCGTGGCTTCATTGCTCTTCTCTCCACTGTCTCGCTGCTCTCCAGTAGCCCCTGGTGACACAGGGTGGCTCTCAACGTGTGGGTCATCATTGCTACTGTGAGTAACACTGATATCGATCTGTGTTAGGTCGGGCACAGAGACCGACTGCTCATAGTTGCACACTTCCCGCCAGACAGCAAGACCGTTGTTCCAGCGCGCTTGCCCGATGTCCTTGACTAGCTGTCGAAACTGCAGCAGTGCTGTTGTCTGTGATGAAATAGGATAAGATTTTAATATACACAACCGTATGTGTGTGCGTACAGTGCATGTGGGAGACTGCTCGCATGTGAAAATAGATGTAAATTTGACCAAAGACTGATCTATAATTTTAATTCAACGAAGATTTCTTTGAACTTGACAAAATTGTGAAAGAATACAAATATTGCTTTACGAAACTTCTATGTTAGCTGAAGATTCTCATTACTATTCATACCTTGTCAGTACTGAATGCGAAGTCATCAATCTCGTGTACAAGTAAGTAAACATTCTCTGCTGAGTGCAAGTCTAGAGCCTGAAATATAAATGAATACATATATTCATTACTGTATTAAATAAACCATTACATCTCTCATCATAATAGATTTCAGATTGCTGTTAACAGTGAGTCTACGAAATCATTCAGATTAAATAAATTATAATATAAGTAGTAAATAATAAAAAATCCAGAACGGATTGAACCCTGGTCCCTCACTTGATAGACGGTGATAGTAATCACTCAACTATGACAGACTCAACATTTTGTTTACTATATGTAACTTCTAAGACATTCACATAAAATGACACATGTATTATATCTTCATTATATTGTCAATATATATAGTACTTTATTTAAGTTTTATTTATAATACCAATGTGTAATTGAATCAAGGCAGTGGATATTTAACCATATACGGCAAAGTTTCCACTTCCGCTATTTTACCGTACACCACATTTGATTGGCTAGTATATTTATGACGTCATCAACATTACATTCGAATCCCATAAGGTTTAGCTATCTAGAAAACGTTTAGGTTCGAATCCCATTTATTTCTACACATTTGTAGCCCCAGTGCGTTTGATCATAGAAGCTATTTTCCGTGAATCACGTTTCCAATACAAAACCTTTTGAACACATTCATATTATCAGGGCTTAATCCAAGCCATTTTTCATACTGAATACCGGTGCCCAAATTACGACCCCTAGCAAAACGCCCAAATTACAAAATTCATAAAACGACCAAATTAGCAGAGCTCTGATACAGATCTCCATGCTTCTATTGTTATGTAGGCAATGTTTTATAATAAAATGCTCATATAAGATCTATAATCGATTATCTGAATAAAATGTGTCGACCAAACGCCCAATTTAATGTGATAGATAAGTATCAAGAGCAGATAAAGAAGATAAGCTTCTTTATCTGCTCTTGTAAGTATATATATAATTTTGTTTAAGCTCGCTACGCTCGCCACACATGCGTCTATACAGAGGAATTGCTCCGACCTATGATTGGAGGATAAAAATAGAATTTGTGACGTTTCATTTCACCGGCCATAGCCGCACGTGTATTAGCCTATGAGCGATACCGCGCGTGCATATTTGCTAATTAATTACACTAATCGTGCTTCAATAAACTCAAATTTCACAGAGATTATAGCTAAGACATGTGTCTATAAGAGCTAGAATTTATAGAAATGTAACTCAAATCGTTCACGCCATATGATAGTTACTAAGTTACTACACTTTCCTACCGGCCATAGCCGCGCATGTATTAGCCTATGAGCGGTACCGCGCGTGCATATTGGCTAATTAATTACACTAATCGTACTTCAATAAACTCAAAATTCACAGAGATTATAGCTAACACATGTTCTATAATAGCTAGAATTTATAGAAATGTAACTCAAATCGTTAGTGCCATATGATAGTTACTAAGTTAGTACACTCTCCTACCGGCCATAGCCGCGCATGTATTACTATTAGCCTATGAGCGATACTGCGCGTGCATATTTGCTAATTAATTAGACTAATCGTACTTCAATAAACTCAAATTCACAGAGATTATAGCTAAGACATGTATCTATAATAGTTAGAATTTATAGAAATGTTACTCAAATCATTTGCGCCATATCATAGTTCGTACACTTTCCTACTGGTCAGCGTATAATAGCGTATGCGGCGGGGTTTGCAAAATGACAACGAAACGTCACGAATTCTATTTTTATCCTCCAATCACAGGTCGGAGCAATTCCTCTGTTTAGATGCATGTCTCGCCACGGGTTCCAACATTAAGCAGCTAGATTAGGCCCTGAATATACTAACATACATAAATATACTAGCCAATCAGAAGTACTGTACGGTAAAATAGCGGAAGTGGATACTCTGCCGTATACGGTAAAATAGCGGAAGTGGATACTCTGCCGTATACGGTAAAATAGCGGAAGTGGATACTCTGCCGTATACGGTTAAATATCCACTGCGTTGAATCAACGAGTGGTGCTTATCAACTGCTGCTTGTATACAAACATTGAAACACGTGCACACACACACACACACACACACATCACACATGTGTGTGTGTGTGTGCGGCGACCTGAGGTGAAATTCTTGCAAATAAAAAAAATATATTTTTACTTGGGGTGGGTGTTCGTTCGAACCCCCCGAACCCCCCCCCCTGGCTACGGACCTGGTGTGTATATATATTATATATATATATATATATGTGTATATATATATATATATATATATATTAAATTATTAATATTATATCGTATATGTATAAAATTATATATTATTAATATTATTAATTATTAATATTATTATATATACATAAATTTGCAAGAATTTCACCTCAGGTCGCTCCATTTTAGTGTAA